GCGCTGCCCAGATGCAACAAGTGCTAATGTCTTTTTTGTAAGGTTAAGCATGATAAAAATTGACAGGTGAGAACGGCAACAAAGCCAGAGGATTTTAGGTACCTTTGGGCTAAGCATATTCTCTCGGCTGTGACATCTTTGTGGCCTGTCAACATTACACTAGTAGCGCTTGACTGGAATTCATCTCTTATACCTGGCACGGTAGTAGATTGAGTTACACCGGACGAGGCAACTTGTTACTTCCAATGTAGTAACCTCTGAGCCAACCTGGATAGCAAATGGTGCGAATTACCTGTAGCAAGTTATAGCGAAAGGGGGAAAAACACGAGTTGCCTAGTGAGGCTCTGTTCCGAACCCCTGCAGAGCGTGCAAACGGTTTCGTGGCTGAGCGGCTGTCACGTATTTCCACGAAGTTGGTGGTATTACTCGTACGGCCACACCCATGGCAGTAATAACGTAATCTGCATGTGCAAGCAACGTTACAGGAGCGAATTAAGACCTCAGTATGGCAGGGGACCACGAAGTCAAATATTATTCGCAGTCCACTATATTGGCTAAAACCCATGCTGGGTCTCCTTGTACTGGGCACAAACTTTTGCCCTGCACGTGTGTAAAAGGTGGGGAGTATACCGTTTAATGCCTTTGCATCACAAGAAGACGACCTTACCCCACGCTATTCTCGCGCCCTCCGTGAGAGGTGACTACTCCAGAACAACGAAAACTCGGGGTCGTCTTTCGCCGTGCTTCAGTGTGCGCTCCTGGTGAATGGCTACAGCCAGAAGAAGCACAGAATGTCTTTACTATGGTGCCTGACGTATTACGTGGAACAGCATCATTGATGCTCTATCCATAAGATTACCATCAGAGCTCCCCGTGGACTACAACATCTTGCTACTGTTCGGCAGACTTTCAGCGAAATCCAGCTTCTACCCTAATGACGTCCACTTAGCTCAGTTTTGGCATGCAAAACAAGCGTAAGATGATTGTGAGTGGGTGGATGGGCCATACGTATTCATCATTCTGTACCATGGTAATCATGGTTAAGAAGCATGGTAATCGTTCATACCAGTGAAGCGTGTGCGCCGCGGCTGTTTCGTATTCAGTGAAAGCCTTGACCGCTGCTTGTGATTTCCCCATGCCCCTGTTCAGACAACACTAGAGACGCTGAGGGCTACTTAATACCTTTCCAGGATATCCTTTAAAGTAGGCTTTGAACTGAATTGAAGGCGAGGGTTGACAAAAGAAGCTTCTCCGCTTAGCCATGAAGTTATCCAAATATACGGCAATGTACTATGGTTCCAGTGATGCCTCAGCTACCTTTTAGTCTAGTACCAGCACATAGCACAAACCCTTAAAAGGTCAATTGTTACTGCACACCAAGCCGAGCTGTACATAAGTACAGCTCCAGTCTAGCTACACAGCTTCCTCTCACCTTCTTCAAGCAAAAATGCTACTCCATGCTCTACAAATGCAAGTTTGCCGAGCAGGAGCACGCCTACCTCGGCAAAACTGTCCATGCAGACAGCATAGAACCCTCAGCAAATAGAGCACTCCTGGTATGCGGGTGGCCACAGGCCTTAAAAGATGAACAAACTCGAATACGCCGATTTCTAGGAACGGCAAATTTTTGTCGTATCTTCTTGGAACTAGATTACGTTGACAACATTCAAGTCGTCGATGAACACACTTGGAAGCTTGCATCCTTCCACTTGGCTTAGACTCACACTCACGCTGTGTTCATCTTTGAGGGCGCTTAATCAACTTTACGGTTCTACAGGTTTCAGACACTCTGATGGATTAAGAGTCGCGCATGAAAGCCTCTGGCCATGTGATAGGGACGGTAGTTGAGATGGAAGAAAACGCCAGGTGGTTTCCTCAGCCAAATCTCCAAGCAGCAGATATGTCCGATTTATGAGTGACAGGTTTCCTGCGTTAGCTCCTGAGCTCTACGCATGAGACGCATCGAATTTATAACCATGAATATTTCTTGCCTGTAACACTAGACAAGTGGTGTGACTGATTATTAATGGCATACACCAACCATCAGGCCCTCATCCCCAACAGAGGGTGTACAAGGCTAACCTGCTACATAATCTCACGGCTCGATGGCTTGACTTTCTGAAGGTATTCCACAACCTCGCGGAAACGTACTTATGTTTGTGATACGTGGAGCCAAGCGGCCAGTACACTATCAAGCTCTGCACTTTCAACGTTCTGGATCCACAGACATTTGAAAACAGTCTCTTGTTACGGTCATTTCTTTCCCTCTACTGGGTATGCGAATCTGGATAGTCTTAACAACGTTACAGCAATTACCAACTTAAGCGAAACTAAATGCCAACGGGAGGAGCACTTACGCGTGCATCTAAGCTGCCTCACACTTGTCCGCCCATGCCAACGCCATCAGATATTCCCTCTACTGAGGACCAACCCAAGAGCACCCAACTTTCAAAGCCTCCTGCACTCGTGACTTTTTTTTGATTCGCTTTTTCCGCTACATGATTTGCAATATTAAACGCTTCAAACATTTTTAGTGCAATAAACACATTAGATTTTTGCTCCACAAGCTTGTTTTCCCAATTGGTTTGTGTTTTGCGCTTCAAACATTTTTACTGCAATAAAGACATTAGAGTTTTGCTCCACAAGCTTGTTTTCCCAATTGGTTTGTGTTTTGCGAAGCCAACAGTCGCGACACTACAAGCCAGTGATACTGCGCAGCCGAAGTTCCACAGGCGTCGGCGCCTGTCGTGCTTCTCACATACAAGCCATAAACTCAAAATGATTCACGCGATTGCAGCCTTTTGGGGGCAGATGCAGGTTTTTCCTGCCCTTGTTGAACATTCCTACTGGCCAGGCCTGAGTACTCTACCACCTGATACATTGATTCTTCTGTACAGCGCCAAGCCTGAAAGGCGCTCAGCCGAAAGCCCTATGGCATACTCTATCACAAAAAACATCCTCTGCATTCATACAATTGCTGGATGCATCTTGACATAAGTTTTATTGCGGGCCTTCATCACCTCAGCGGGGCATGATTCTATCCTCATACGTCTGCATTCCTCCAGCAAGTTGGCACACTTCATGCGTTTAATGAAGGCGGTCATACAATACACGGAGACTTTGTGATGTCTCCCGTTTTACTGAGGCAACTACTGGCCAGCCTGATGGAACGCCAAGCAGCTAGTTGACATAGAAGTGTTTTCAAGAAGATTGCCAGTTTATGTTGTTTTTCCCAGGCAGTCTTTTTCTACCTTTCAGGTAGAAAAAGACTGCTGCAGCCTCTTTCCAGCTTCAATGTTCCGGGCGCATGCGGAGAAGGCAGCAACTACGGAATCGTCCAGTGACGGAAGTTTAAGAAAGAGCGGATGCGCTTCAATAAGCTGCTCAGTATCTGGTATGCCTAGTTAACCTAGCGCACCATGCGATGGACTACTAAGCCAGAGGCCAGAGACCCTATAAGCTTGCTGCAGACGAAGGGTAGTGTTTGTCTGTTGCAACGAACAATAGCTCGGGATGAACTACGTGCTTTCATATTGCGGAACTAGCCAAAGCGAAGCTTGTTCATGTAAAATCCTGTTGCTGCAGCCACTGCTTGAGCAGGCGACGTCGACACCGGAATCACAAAAGTTTTTGCCTTTTTATGCCAGATAGGTTGACTCTGTGGGTTACTACTGGGAAGGCACCGCTTACAAAAAATATTTGTGCATCGGGAAGTGTCCCTTATGATCAAGCACGCACCAGCTATTTAGCGCTGCAGGGTTTCTCTGGTTGGCTTGTGCCACAACCGTTGCTGCAATCCGCTAATTCTCTCTTTGGGGCTAAAATATTCCCACACGCTGTATAAAGAGCGTCTTGTTTGCTCTTAGTTGGGTGTTCGGCTGCTGTTGACGGGAAAACGGGAGAGCAGCGGTGTCTCCATGTCTATAATTACACTTTTTTTGCCCAGGCTGCCGCTCCCCCCGCTTTTTTCCTTGTAAAAGTGCAACAGCGGCTGGTCCTTTTTCCCTTGGCTCCTTGCTCTGACTTCTCCAAAACAGTAGCTGTGCTGCGGGCAGTGACTTCTGCAGCCCCTTAGAGCTGTGCTGTACAGCGAAGCTCTTCGTACTCTTGCCATATACCATGATTGTATTTTATCTTATGTGGTATATATCTCGTTTTTATTGCTTCAGTCTAGCGTAGTAGACGGCTCCAAGTGGTCCCTGCAATCATCAGGCTCAAGCTCCGTAAGCGCTTGCCTCGATCAGAGTATCCCAACAAAACGTTGAGCTCATCTGGTAGTTGGGCTGCAGATAAATAGGCAGGATTTAGGTAATTTCTGTGGGGATTGTCAACAGCATTTATCAGCACGCTAGCCCAATGCTGTTTCAGATTTTGGTGCACATCCGGACGGGGCAAGTAGTAGATCTGAAGAAGCACAAAACGATGCAGATATTATTACAGCAGAGAAATAGGGTCCGCTACCCCGAAAAGAAGTAGTTCGCTCCACCAAAATGCTTTGCTTCTATGAGGACAACGCTTCAACCAGCCCCAAAACAAGCGCCTGTGCCTTATTACCACTTGACACTAGCAAGACCAAACGATGAACAGCAATTTAAGTGTTGAATGCTTTAGTTGGTATTTCTACTGCACAATCTGTCTTTTCTCCAGAAGTTCCAGTCAGAGTGTAGTGCCCAGCACTACGTTAGGGGGTGGCGCTCGGCTGGAGAGTCCAGCCACTGGGCAGCATTTGATGCTAATTATCATCATTGTCTTTTTCTCTAATTTGCCTACTTTTTATTTTAAGCGCAGCTCTTGTTTTGCGCTGGCTACGCGTACACCCCGAAAACACTACCACCGACCTCATGCCACCCGGCGTTATCGTGGTGCTGTTCTCTTCGGCGTAGATTGCACAGAGTTAGTATCTCTCCCCGTGGCCTCTCCACGTCAGCGGTAGTTTCTTTTAACAAGGAAGCCACCGGAGCATCACTGCAGAAGTAGCGGCAGCAGCGGTAGCAGCAGCCATGGCGCTGCCGCTGCAGCCAGCCTGGCGGGAGCCAGCTAAGCGACGGCTGCCTTCCATACACCACGGGATGCTTACAGAAGATGTAAGGGCTCCCTGTTCCTCTCCGCCCAAGATCAAGGCACGCCGTCTAGAGTGCAGCCCGGAGGCACTCGCCAAGACAGCACGTACAGCAGAAGCGCCACAAGCTCGAGCTAAGCATATCCGGGAAAGAAGTCCCCTCTCTTCCCCTCTTAAGAGGCGCCTACATATGCCTGTGAGCGCTGATGAGAAAAGCTCTCCCTCTCCGAATGCATGCGCATCTGCTGGTGATACGAATGCAGCGTCAGCGCTGGCGGCAGAAATCAGTGACTCCTCGAGCAGCAAAATGCTGCAGTCTCCCGTCCGCTTGCATTTTCCTCTCACCAGTAGCGGAGTTTCACGTGCAGCACCTGAACTTCCACCCTTTCCTTCGGCCGTCCCTCAGTGTGTTGCCCCTGGTGCTAGTGCTGGAGGGTCTTCTGATACTGCTGCATCTCCTCAGAGGCATTTCGCTGCAGAAGTTGGGGGCCCACAAGGGGTTTCAACTGGGGGCGGGTATGGCGCACCATTAAACCTCGATGCACGATCTTTCCTCGCCACGGCAGCAGCTGCAGCTGCTGCTGCTGCAGCAGGGCCTGGAAGTCCTCAGGGAGCTGCCACAGCAGATGCACGGCAACAGCAGCGCCCCTCATTTCTCGACGATCCTGCTTCTCCATTTAGTACTGGCAGGCGCCGCAGGCCTCCACCTGTTGCTGAAGTTGCTGCTGCAAGTGAAGCGGTAGCAAAAGCAGCAGCCACCCCGTCACCAACACGACGGCCTGCTGCTGGTGCTCGAGGAATTCCTCCAACGGCCGCCCATGAGGACTCAATGGACCACAAGGTATCTCCTGTAAGCAGCCGAAGGCGTGCCTCTCCCTACCACTGCAACAGCTCCAGGGCAGAAACAACATACCTTGAAAACGAAGCAGTCTCCCCCTTCCTACTCACACCTCCTCGAAAGAAGCCTCAATTCTCCTTTGATGGCGAGCATGGCGCCCAGTGCTTGCAACGGAAACATTCGGGAGAGCAAGAATCAGCAGGAGATTGTGAAATGCGCCTAACACCACAGGAGGTTGCTTCCATGCAGCAACTTTTTTCTGAGCAGCAGCGGCTCAGCGGGCGGTTCCACTGCAGTGCCCTAGACACATGTGCTGCAGCAGAAGCCCCCCTGGCTGCTGTCAAGCTGAATAGACAGCTTGAACGTCTTTGCCGTCTGTATGGGCTGTGAGTAATGGTCACTTTGGACAGGCAGGAGCTTCCGCACTGTTGCTGCTGCTGCTGCCGCTGCAAAATCTTCATTAATGTGGCATACTGCAGCTATGCGTTTCTTCCTATGGCATCATGTCTCAAGTCTGTGACAAATTCGCGGTTGTTTGTTAGGCACAGGGGCCTAGTAGGCCCTCTCTATGTCAGTTTTTGAGCCCTTCTCTTCTGTCCTTTGCCTCTCGCTGCGGTTTCTTGCAAGTTTTATCGCATCGCTCTTACTGTCTGTTGCTGCTGCTACTGCTGTAGGTTGAGAATCCTGTTTGACCGCTTTTACGACCGCGGGGAACCTTTGTTGCTTTTTTCGGGTATTCTTCCAGCGTACACAAAACTGGCCTTGACGCACTATTCCCGTAGCGCCACAGAACCCGACATTGGTTCGGTCAAAAGTAACAGCAGCAGCAGCGTGGTTGGCTATACGTCAAGCGTCAGCACGGGTAGTGGCAAAGTGAGGAACGATCTGATAAAAGATGTGGGGCGGCTGGTGTGGCTTCTTCCACAGCTGCTGCAGTGGAAGCCACGGAAGCCGAGCGGCAGTGCAATTGCGCCATCAGCGGCTCCCCTAAGCCCTCTGCGACGGCAGCAGCAGATGCACTACGACATACAGATCGTGGAACTGAAGGATGGGATTCCGCTGTCATCTCGCGCGCGTGACGGGGAAGAGAGACAGCAGAAGCTACGCCAGCGTCTGGTAGCGTACACACTGCAGTGGCAGAATTGCTGTCTGCAGCTACAACAGCAGCACGAGATGCGGCAACAAGTATCATTGCTGCGGCGCAGTAGGGAGCTGCTAATACAGCACGCAAGCTGGGTACCCGGATTTGACGTGGACAGTGTCCCATCTCCGCCTGCCGCTGCACCTCCTGAACCGCAGCAGGAGCAGCAACATTTGCTGCAACCCCAACAAGCTCCAGGAGCCTTCAAGGGCGAGTCCTTAATCGGACATATTGGTGGCAGTCCTATTCGTTGTGTCAGACAGCAGCAACAAGAGCGGCGTGCAACTGGAACACAACATGTGCAGATGCAGGAGCAAAAGAAGCAGCAAAACAAGCAGGTGGAGGAAACAGAGAGCGGCAAAAGCGCCACACCTGTTGCGACCACTTCTGTTGGCGGCTTCTCGTCAGTTAGTACTTGCTCAACAAGGCAGTCCTCGTCTCCACCAGATCTTACCAGGGAATGCTCATCTCCATCGCTGCTGTCGTCGCCTCTCACTCGGGGTCGGCAACCCACGAGGCGTCCTTCTCTTTTTATGCCGTCTGTAGGAAACCGCAGCCCAAGTCCTTCTTTGGTCAGGCGCTCCGTGTCAAACAGCACCAGCCCCACCAGGTAACCAACAGACGAGTCATTCAACTGGCAACGTAGCTACCGATTGCTCTTTCAGGGCACCCGAAGAGAGGCATTTTGCTTCCGTGTGGCTGCTCTTGCTAGCACTGAGGAAGAGTTCAAATTTGTAACTGTTGCCGCCACAGCCTCACGGGCAATTTTGGGAAGATTGTCGTAGCTAGTCAATGCCGCAGGTTCCACTCTTTTTTTCACCGCCTTTTCTGTTTGCCATTCTCCAGGAGTCCTGTTTCGGAACGACTGCGCCGCAAAGTAAGGGCAGCAGCAACAAGCGGTGAAAGCGCTGCTTTAGACCAGGAGGCCCGGTGATGAGGTGTGAGAGGTTTTCTCTTATTGGTTGTTGATGCAGACTGAAGAGCGGATGACTGCGCGCCTGCAGCAAGAAGCAGCGCAACAGATACGAAGGGAACTCTATGAGTAAGTCGTGCGTGCATTGCTGCTGCTACTGCCCATCTGCACACCCTAGGAGCTAGAGCTCTGTTTTTGTGCGTTCTGATGGAACGTCCAACGGTAGGTGCACTAGGACGTGTACTGGCATGACGCTTAAGTTCTTGCCTCCGGTTTCTTCAGGAATGTACAACGACTTAAGGAGGTTCAAATCGTTCTACAGTGTCTTCTCGATGCATGTTTATACCAAGACCGACGCTCTGTATGCCAGTAATGTCAACGCGCCCCATTAACGATATAAGAGCAGCTAGCTAAGCCTATTCGACTAGCTGCGCGCAGTCAAGTAGCTAGGGGAGTCTACAAGCGCTAGGAAGCAGCAGGTTGCCTGTGTTTGCTGGTGCAGCGCATTGACGTGAGGGTGCTGACGGATCTCTTTGTCTCTAGAGTTCGGACGCCTTTGCCTCTCTCAGCCGTGGAGAGAGCTGTGGTATTTTTAGAAGGCATCTTTCCCGCAACGTAAGCATCCGTCCCTTTCGCCCGTTGTGTCTTGTGCTCCTGCCGTCAACAGCAGCAGGAGCAGCAGCGGTAGACAGCTGCTGTTGCTTGTTCCAGTGATGATGATGGCAATGACCGTATGCTTTGCTCGTCCCTTTGCTCAAATGTCGGGATCCGTCCGAATAATGCCTCTTGTGATGTCTTTTTGGGGCTCTCAGTATTCAGCTTCGCTCGAATGTTATCACGGTGGATCCATCAATTGAGTAATTTTTCACTGAGTTTACTAAATGCGAATCTGACCCCTTTCGAAGAAGTCAGCCTAGCTTGGTGCTAGCAAGCCACGGACGTGTAAAGACAGAGGACACAGATGCAGTCCTTTCTCTGATGGGAGTTCCCGAATGTTTTTTGTCCTGCTTTTCAGCCATTTGTCAGTGAAGAAGGTGGTGGACTCCAAGCTTCGGGAGGCACAGGAGGCGGCTCTCGCTGCAGATGCAAAGAAAGGTCTTGCGCCGCTTGAATAGCTTAGTTTTCTGCTAGTTAGCTTAAGTTATTGTAGGCTCACGAAGTTACATAAAGAGAAGGCTGCCATCAACCGGCAATATAGATGCTTTAGGCACATGAGCGTTCCGCAGAAGCGTATGCTTTGTTTTCGGTTCCATTTCGTGTTGTTTTACGTCAACAAACGTCAGAAGAGCTGCAGGAGAAATAGCAGCAGCAGCCGCACCCTGCTGTGCTCTCGTATTAGTTAAGGAGAAGAGCGGAGAGGGCCCGTTTGTTGGCGTGAAAGCCGTTCTGGTTCCTCAAGATGCCACTCTCCTGTGTAGCCGTGGCGCTCTTCAATGAAGTGCAATGGAACGCTCCTCCTCACGGCCAATCGCGTGCATCCTCTTTTACCTAACACCCCACAGTGGCGTTTTTGGCCATATTATTGTGACAGCTCGCAACCATCCCATTAGGCACATCGACGTTTGATTTTACTTTGGCCAGCTTGATTTTAACCGCTCTGTTTTGTCGCTGTAATGCTCTTTCAGAGTTAGAATACTCCGTTTCAATCATATGTAGGTTTAGTGAATTAGCGTCTCCCACACTTTGCTCGAAATTCGTAATTTGCAACTCCAGCCAGGGATTGGACTCAACAGGCGGGCCGGGCGTACACTCAGAAGTAGCCGAACACAACTCTTGCAAAAACCCCCACAGCTTTTAAGGCCCTGCTTTGGCAACAAAGTCACACTTCAGACAGCATGCAGCGCGGTTATAAAGGTCCAAGAGAGCCACGGAAGTTCCCAGTCAGGCCGAGGAGTTCTGGTGGACCGACAGGTTTCAACCGTCATTCCCCTTCTTGCGGGTATTTTGGATGTCTAAGTAGATGACGCAGATGAAAGGGTGACGTGCTAGAGGCGCCACGCACCGAAGTTACGATGTATACACGGAGACACGCTCAGCGAATCGAAATTTGAAGGTGGAGCAAAGCGGTGAAGACACTTGCTCTCAGGAACCTCAATGAATAGCAGCGCGTGCCATTTTGCAATATTGCCAAAGAGACCAACCAATGTTGGCAGGCCACAGGAAGGCGGCACGCAATGAACTGACACTGTTTGCCAGACTGGCATTGTCGTTTTCCAGTACAGTTCCGTAACTTCACGGTAGCGCAGCCAGGGCTGGGGAGTCTGGGTTTTCGAGTTGTACAAAGTTGAACAGTTACTGCTTCGAAGTTCTGATGCCTTGGCAGTAATCGTCCGACACTCATTTACTCAAGCAAGGCGAAGCATATAACTGCCAGAGCACTGCGATCCAAATGTCAAGCTCTGTTACCTATTGACTATCCAGGGACGGTGGTTCGGCTATCTGCTGAAGTCGTACCACTTTCGAACTTTCTTCCGTTAGCTTTTGCTACTAGCTGCTTGCAACGGTATATACGTATCAGCTCCTTTATATCCTTATTTTTGTAGCACGCAATTTAGCCTCAGCTCACACAGAAAGAAAGCAAACAGTGGAGCTTTGCCTGGCAAGGCTTGTTTCCCACTGCTGCGGACGGTATATTGGCTTGCCCAGCGAAGCTGCATGGATCACCGCCGCGTCGTTTAGAAGCTCTTTTCATCCCGAGAATACATTATATGGATATGTGACTCATCATTTTCCTCTTCCCGTATTGTGGTGAGGGGATTTTGCAGGGCCACTTCCCTCGGCGTTAGCCCTCGCTTTATTTAGGTTCCTCCAGCATGCTGGGGGCGTTCGGCTCCAAGTCTTGTAAAAATATGAGCTGATCGGAGGCGCGGTTGTTTTCAGATTCTTTGTGCTCAAGGGAGCACCCATTTGTGCAGAGGTGTGCCATGGCTTGACAGATTGTACTATGCATGCAAAACCGCCCATATCTAGTCTCTACCCGTGGTATCTCGGCCTTTTGTGAAATCAAAGTGCTATTCTAGCCAAAATCTTAGGAACATGCATTTTCGAGTTAATGTCGCTGCTCGATGTGGCCAACAGGCTACGCACAGTTCTGCGTGAGCCTGAAAGGTCATCGTAGAATACGAATATAGTTTGGTCTCAGCCATAATGTTATCTGGTAAGCTGCAATGAATCCCTTAAAATAGAACGAGTACGTTAGTCAGCGAGCTGTTGGTGCTGGTACTTAACCTGTGTACTGGTCCAGCTGGACCACCGGTTGGGCTCTAGTCCTTCAGATGCTGCTCATTCCTACATGCACGGGAGCGTTTGGAAACTGGACTAGAATCGTAGGCCAACTGTAACTAGAAGAAGTCCAAGAAAAGCGAAAATGCATAATATTTGGTGGACCAGTTGTTTTCGTGCGACGAGTGGGAGCCGCGGCCTTCTGGCGGGCCCCAAGGAGTCGGCTGCTCGGGCTTGCCTCGGTGAGGTTTCTCAAGCATGCTGGGGGCTATCGAGCGCCGCTGAGTGGTGGTAAAGAACGCTTGTTTCTGGTTTATGAAGAAGTCTTTTCCTACGGTGTGAGCAAAGAGCCCCGTTTTTCTGTCCCCCGAATAGCAGCAGCTGGGCCACGCCAGCTTGCTCCGTCAGCGCGCCCGGTATCTTTACAGAACGTAGCCCAATGTTTTTGGGCAAGGTGCTGGGCAAATCTACAGTTTGATAGGAATGCTTGCTTAGAGAGGCTCTTCGCACAGACCTGTATCTTCGAACTGAACGTCTCACCAATCGCACCTGCCTGCTCGCCGAATCGACTGATGGTGGCACGTGGTCGAAAAACTACGCTCTTCCTCCCCCCTGCTGCGATTTTACCATTAAGATTACTTCAATTTTTGTTTTCAGCTCCATATTCTTACCTTCTTTCAGCCTACCCGGTCTTGGGAGCAACCTTTTTCCTGGACTGCCGATATTGGCTGCCTCGCAGGAAGTACAGGCTATAATTTGCCAACTTTTTCCGCTGCATCTTCCCCTTCAACAAGAATTTTCCCCTTCACCATCTCTGGTTACTGAGTGATATTCCACTGCCACAGAGGGGCTCGCTGTCCTGCTGTTTTCGAGGGTTGTCCTGCCCTGCACCATCCTCAGGGTCGCTCCCGTCAAGAAGCAGCGAATGCATGTAGTTTGGTGCTCTTTCTTAGGGGACGCTATGAAGTGTGAGAAGTCAATAAGCTAGATGGCCTTTCTTTGTTGCGACCAATTATACGCACTCATGCCTTGCATTCCCTCACCACCTGCACTCTGCTTCATCTCCTATAATGCTTCATAACGGGCACCTGTACAACTCACTTTTGTCACGTTTACTGTAGCCTCCTCCGCAGTTCGCTGCTGGGGAGGAGCCCCAAATTCGGTGAGAATGGATGCCGAAAACTTTGCGAAGCTCACGGCAATCTTGGACTTGCTAGACCGCTACAAGAAGAATCTTGCACAGGCACTGCAGCAAGAAGCGCCTGGACGGGCGCGGAGCGTCCTACAGGCAGGTAGAACCCTTTCCAAGAGGTCGACGCGCACGGAAGGCTTATTTGGCTTCGGCAGCGGCAATGAAGGTAGGCCCTGTGTGTGTCGCTTGCCATACGAGTGGCACTTTGAGTGTGCGACTGAAGTTGGCGAATATTTAAGCTTGAAAAAGCGCAGTCAGTTACTCCGAAGCTACCTCAGGTCGTTAGGGGGTATGTAGAGGAGCTGACCAGAGTGGAGACGCGCGATTCTGACCGCGTTGTGAATAGTTTCCCGCCGGTTTCATGGCTTTTGCCAATAGTTCCATCGTCGAATTTCTTCAGGTCTTCAGGTCTTCACTGAATTTTTTCAGGTCTCACGTTTTGTGTAATTTTATTCGTGCAGCTCATCAGCAAATGGACGCCGTGGCGCATGCCCTGGAGCGGCGCAAGACAATCAAACGTACTCAGACGCTGCTGCTCCGGAGGCGAACACGCGTACGCAGGTCCTTTCCAAGCTTGTCAGAGCCCGCGAGCAAGTCTGTTTCCATTTCTTGTAAGTCATTATACAGTTGCGCCCCGCACATAACCTGGGCTCCTGGGCTAAAGGCGCTCTTAGCTTTTATTCTGTGTCCTTGTTTTGGACGTTGTTTAACGCATGATGCGGATTCTTCAGGCCTAGACGAGGAACTGCAGAGTTGCGTTGCCAGCCGCGGCATGCTACATATGTTCGGAAGCAACCGAAGCACAGACAAGCAGGAATCAGATGAATCCGACTGCGATGCAGTGAGCAATTCTCCACATAACAATGGCACTCCAGTTCTCTTCAATGTGCCAGCCGAGTACTTTCTCTCTTTTTAAGCTATTGCTCCACGGATGGTTTGTGCTTTTAGTCGTTGTCGAGTTCAAAGGTCGTTTTTTGTGGCCATTGAAGGCTCTCAGTGGGAAATAATGCTCATCTAGTGAAGGACAATATGTTCCAACTGAGAGCTGCTTTATCAACTGCTCACTCGAGAGGTGGCGTATGCTTGTTCAGTGAAACTTAGAACGACTTGCATCAACTAAACAGTCACTGTTGCTTTTTGGCGTTATGACTAGAGGCAGCTATTCTTGCCTTCTTCCTATTCAGCAAAGCGATTGCCTGGATTACATGTCGGATAGGGACGTCGAACCCCCTGACGTCGACTGGGAAGGTAAGTTGCTCTTGAATTCAGTGGAGCATGATTGACAGAGAACGTTCTTCAAAAGTAGAGCGAAAAATATAGCAACTGGACGCGTATACTTAAAGAGATTGGGTGCGGTTGTGACGTCAGATTCAGCATCCCAAAGGAGGCTCTCCACTTGCAGTCTTGAGAACATGACAACAGATGATTATACCAATCTGCATCCCCAGGTCTTGGGTCAGCTATTTGATAAAATTTTGGACTATCTTCAGAATGATTTCGATGATTTAGTAGGAAAGTTGAAGGAACAGGTAAGCACAATGCCTCGCGGGGGAGTGCACGTTGCGCATTGTTTCTGTGTAGCGCGACCCCAGCACGAAACATTTCTTCCTATCTTTTGCACTGCTACCATGAACGGTGATTTCTTTTTAATGCAGAATGTACACTTGAAGCAGGACGTTATATCGCTGAGAAAAAAGCTTC